CGCTGCCTGTGAGGCCCGTGCCCGGCCTGTCGCTTACCGCCCGTGGGTGCTGTGGTTGTCGCTCCAGGACCCAGTTGGATATCGTCACCGCGGGTAGACTCGTGGCTCGTAGGAAGCGTGGAACATCAGCTGGCCAGCGGATGATATGCCAGGTTTGGCCCACCTTCGCCTGCAGGCTGAAGGGGAAGCCCCATTTGTACGGGATCCTCCGCTCCCGGAGAATGGCGGTTACTGGACGTAGCGCCCTCCTGGCCTCTAGCGTGAGCGCGGAGAGATCCTGGTAAAGCGAGACCTGCCCGTCTCTAAAGGCGCATGTTCTGTTGACTGAAGGCCCCTTATGCGGATATTGTTCCTCCTTCCGCGATTGTCCAGGTCTTCTAGTTGTCTCCTGAGATCTAGTAGGACATTGCCCTGTCTGGTGGTGGCAGTGTCTGTGGCCTGTTGGTGCTGCACAGTCTGGGCTCTGTCTGCTTCAAGGGCCTCTACCCTTTGTTCAAGGGCTGTCAGGTCTTTCCTCACCTCCATGACTTCCTCCCTGATTGCAGTCCTGATTTCTGCCAGCATCTCAGCTTTGTCAGCTCTGGACAGCATATTGGCAGTGATCTTGGCCAGCTCGGATGAAATATGCGCCAGAGTGTCTCCCCTGGGTGAGCCCTGCGTCAGGCTGTCACTGCTGCTGTCCCCTGGGGAGGCCGGCGCCATTTTGGATGCGGCCGGCGCGGACCGCATGTCTCGCGGCGTGCATACATAGCCGTCCATGGGGCCCGAGGTGCGACCCGGCGAGCCGGCTTGTGAGGGTCCCGGCGTGTGGGGTCTCCGGGATTTACCCATCTCGGGTCGGATAGCGCTCGTTGATGGGTGCTAGTGTGAGCTGGGGCCGCGGAGCAGGTTCAGGATGCGTCCTACTCCATACCCGAGCAGGCCACGCCCCCCACCGTTGTTTTTATCCAGGTGTATTGATTTGCTCTAAATTAAGATAGATATCTTTTAGACAAATTAAAAATCTGCTTATATAATATGGTAGATTCTCTTATTGGATGGTTTCAGGAAATGACTAATGAACTGGTTTAAATGTTATTTTATTTAAAATTACATAAGAATAGATCTTAACTACCTAGGAGATCTAGCCAGCATTGAAAGGGTTATTCTAACTGTCTGCTAAACTTTACGACCTTACGCTGCACTCTGAGGAATTCTGTTCTTCGCTGTGAAAAGTTTCACTATGTCTGTGTAAGCATAGTCATAAATTATAAAGTCTTGACAGAAAATGCTGTAATAGCCATTGAAACGTAATAGTCATTCCTTTGTATTGCATACCATTTTATACTGGATATTCATTGATTATTGTCATGCATGTTACATGTTATTATTAATTATTGGTTATCATAAATAAAATCTATTTTTATAAATTGTGATATTATTTATGTGGTATACATTTCACTTAACACGATAACGATATTTGGGATCTGAGAATTGAATTAGTGGGCAATTCTCAACTGTTTACTATTATTATCCCATAAATATCCCCACATAGGTTATATAGCTTGGAATGCTGCACTAAATTTTTCATCCAAGAGTAGAAACTCATTGAGTCTCCTGTTGCCTTTGACCCAAAACTGAAAGGAATCAAATAGTTCCAGGTAGACCAGACTGTGATCAGACCATGAGATACTTCCAATAGTACATTTATGTAGTTGGGCCAGCACCTGTCAGGATTACAGAATGATCCAGCAGCACGTAGAATTGTGTAACACAGAGGACTGATAGGTAACGTATACCGGACCCTAGAATGGCCGGACTAACGTACCAAAGAATAGTCAGGAATAGCTGAGGTCAAGGGAAACAGAAAGAGACACAATGATAAGGAAAAGTCAGGAGTCAGGGATGCCAGAAAACAGGGAAGTCGAAAACAATGCCAAAGTCAAATAACCAGAATTACCAGAATCAATAACGCGCTCTTGGACAACCACAAGGGAAACCACGACAGGGCACTAAGCAGGATGAGAACTGGGCCTAAATACCCCTCCTCTAGATCTGATAGGCTGTAACCGGCCTTTGACCCCATTTGCATAATTGCTGCTCAGCATTAACCCTTCTGCGGATTTGGTTGCTGCTCGGCACAACTTTTCCTGTGTGGACAGTAAATGTCATTAACCACATTTTTATAAGTGGATGAATACGTGACATTACCCCCCACCTGAAGAACGCCCACCGGGCGGGAAGGACCAGGCTTGAGAGGAAATTTGGCATGAAAATAGCGAATCTTGCAGCCAGCATGTATATCAGATGCCGGAACCCAAGAACGATCGGCTGGTCCATAACCTTTCCAATCCACCAAGTACTGTAAAGTGCCCCAAGAAAACCTGGAATCAATTATGGAGGAGACCTCATACTCTTCCTGTCCAGAAACAACTAAGGGAGGAGGAGGGACACTTGAGACAGTATATTTATTACAAACAAGAGGTTTGAGCAAGGACACATGAAAGGTATTAGGAATTTTCAAGGAGGCCAGAAGGACCAGAGAGTACGCAACAGGATTGATCCTACGAAGGACACAAAAAGTTGTAAGGAACCTAGGAGCAAATTTCATGCTAGGGACTTTGAGCCTGATGTTACGAGAAGATAACCAAACCCTCTCACCCACTTGGTAAACAGGGTTGGCACCTCGACGTGTATCAGCAAAATGCTTGAAACGGTCAGCAGCAGTACCCAGAGCAGATAGAACTCTAACCCAGGTATCACAGATGGAAGCTAGATGGTCATCCAAAGCAGGAATAGCCATATCATAAAAAACAGCCGGTAGGACAGTAGGATGACGGCCATTATTAACAAAAAACTAGATATTCATAGTGTCCACTTCTGGTATTAAATGCAGTCTTCCACTCGTGGTTTTCGTTGATTCTCACTAAATTGTAAGCATAAATTGTAAGATCAAGCTTAGTAAATACTTTCAATTCCCAATTGCTTATTCAAAGCCCTCCAAAACCAGGATACAAACTGAGAACCTCTGTCAGATACAATATTGTGAGGAATGCCATGCAGACGGACAATCTCACGTATAAAGATCAGTACCAAGTCTTGAGATGATGGTAATTTCTTGAGAGGGATGAAGTGAGCCATTTTAGAAAAACGGTCAACAACCATGAGAATAGTGGTATAACCATTAGAACTAGGAAGTTCTGCAATGAAATCCATAGACAAGTGGGACCATGGGACCTCAGGAACGGGAAGAGGTTGTAACAAGCTACAATGGAGTTTATGAGGTACTTTGGAAACCGCACATACAGAACAAGCCTGCACATCCTCCTTAACATCCTTCCTAAAGGGAATCCCACCAGAATGACCTCATGATAGCAGAAGTGGATTTATTAATACCTTGGTGACCAGTAGACACATTGTCGTGAAACACCTTCATGATATAAACCATTTCCCCCAATGGAACGAACAATTTGTCCTGAGGTTTACCGCAGGGTGCCTGAGACTGAGCCTCCATGATGGAGCCAAGCAGCGGAGAGGACAATGAAAGGATAGTGGAAGCAATGATACATTCCCGGGGGAATGATATGGGACTTTTCTTGCTCTTCTATAGACTCAGTGTCAAACTGTCTGGATAAGGCGTCGGCCTTGACATTTTTAGAACCAGGTCTATAAGTAATAAGAAAATTAAAGCGAGAAAGGAACAGAGGCCACCTAGCTTGTCTAGAAAACAATCGTTTAGCAACTCCTATGTAAGCCAGGTTTTTGTGATCAGTAGTGATCAAAAGGGGGTCCTTGGAACCCTATAAAAGATGTCGCCACTCCTTGAGAGCTAGAATAATGGCCAAAAATTCCCTATTGCCAATATCATAATTGCGCTCGGCAGGAGACAACTTTCTAGAGAAGTAACCACAAGGATGCAATGGAGTATCCTGGCTCTCCCTCTGGGAGAGAACTGCCCCTACCCCTGTCTCTGATGCATCAACTTCCAGTATGAAAGGTTTACTGGTGTCAGGATGTATCAATATGTCGGCGGAGGCAAACCACTGTTTGAGAGTTTCAAAGGCTTCTATAATCTCCTTAGACCATATCATACTGCTAACCCCCTTGCGTGTCATATTGGTGATGGGGGCTATTACTGAAGAAAATCCCTTTATAAACCTTCTTTAATAATTGGCAAAACCAATGAATCTTTAAATGGCTTTCAACCCAGTGGGTAAAGGCCATTGTAGAACCGATTCCAGCTTTTTAGGATCCATCTGAAACCCCGAGGCAGAGATATTATATCCCAAAAACTGTACTTCAGATTGGTCAAAGATGCATTTTTCTAATTTACAATAAAGTTGATTCTTTAACAAGGTCTGCAGAACTTGTCTAACGTGATCGTGGTGAGTCTGAATGCCAGGAGAATAAATAAAGATATCATCCAGATAGACCAAGACAAACGAGTAAATGTAATCCCTGAGTACATCATTTATGAAATCTTGGAAAACCGCTGGAGCATTGCACAACCCGAATGGCATCACTAGATATTCACTTCTGGTATTAAATGCAGTCTTCCACTCGAGGTTTTCCTTGATTCTCACTAAATTGTAAGCATAAATTGTAAGATCAAGCTTAGTAAATACTTTAGCGCCTTGGAGTCTATCAAATAGTTCAACAATAAGAGGAATGGGGTAGGTGTTTTTAATGATGATTTTGTTCAATGCCCAGTAATCGATACATGGGCGCAACTCACCATCCTTTTTAGATACAAAAAAGAATCCTGCCCCAGCAGGCGAGGATGATTTTCGTATGTGGCCTTTATTCAATGAATCTTTTAAATATTCCTCCATTACTCTACTCTCCTGAGATGACAGAGCATAGACTGCTCCCTTAGGTGGCATAGCGCCAGGTAGTAAATTAATGGAACAGTCATAAGGTCTGTGAGGAGGTAGAGAATTCGACTGAGTTTTGCTGAATACTTCTTCAATGTCTTGGTACTGTATAGGGATTTCCGGGTTTTGAGATGTACTAGTGTGTAATCCAATAGTGCCCACTCTTTTGGCAACATTCAATATACACCTTTTAGAACAATCCTTACCCCATTCTAATATTTCCCCATTAGCCCAGTCAATATGAGGGTTATGCTTGTTAAGCCATGGAAAGCCTAATATGATCAGTCAGGAAGGGGATGCAATAACCTGAAATGTAATCTCTTCCTTATGTAAGGCACCAATGGACATATTAATGGGTAAGGTTTCGTGTGTAATCAATGGTTGTGAGAGTGGTCTCCTATTAATAGCTTCAACAGCTAGGGGTGATAGTCTCTCCTTGATAGTTATAGTATTACCTTTAACAAATTGAATGTCGATGAAGTTTCCAGTGGCACCTGAATCCATCAGGGCTTTGCATGAAAAGTTCATCTTTTCAAAGGCAATAGAAATATCAAGGAGAATCCTATTTGTATCCATTCCAGAGGACGTTTCTATTACACCTAAGACCTGTCCCCTTAAGGTTCTGAGGTGCGTTAGTTTTCCGGACATATGGGACAATTGTTTCTCATATGTCCTTTTCTACCACAGAAAAGAAAGAGGGAGTGATAGGCGCTCACTATAGTGATCAGGCAGCAGTATACAGAACAGGAATTCCCCAATCCTGTGAGTGAATAGTAAAGAAAAAGAGAAGGCGTATACCGCGCCTAGTAGTATTTTACACAGAAAAATACATACATATATTCTTGTGTACTCCAATCAATTGTAGCCTCAAAAAATAAAATAAAAAAAATAAAGAATAATAGTGCAATACAGTAGATAGAATTATTTAATCTACACAATAATTGCTATGTACAGTCCACTCACATTTGAATGAGCTATAACAGAGCTCTACTGTAAAGCGCCTGGACGGTACAATCCCCGTCTTAGGATTCGTAGTGGTTGCCACGGATGTTCTCAAGGTGCAATGTGCAAAATATAAGAAGAGATAGCAGCAATATGGTGAAGTAAGTACTAATAGTATATTCAATAATAAAAGGTATTGTACTTACACTTTCTAGAGCATATGACTTGCTCCAGTATAAAACAGCTTAGGTGGTATAATCCCCACCAAGGATATGCAGGATCCAGGAAATAAAATAGTATATATAAAAAGTAACTTTAAAAGAAGTATACTTTAATATAAAATAAAACAATATAGGATAAAGGAATATATTAAAATGTCCCACTTAACGCGTTTCACCTAAACAGGCTTCTTCAGAAGTGTGGTAAAGAGTCCAAAAAGTCCATTTTTATATCCTGATTAATGGGGTGATGGTTTCCTGGTGTGTTACTTCCTGGTTCCGGGCTCCGGTTGACACGCACGCGTCATACCGGAAGTGACGCGACGCGCGCGTCATCCCGGAAATGACGTGTCGCTCGCATCGATCAAGAAAATATTTGCGGCATCAAATTGAAAGAATAACAATGTTATGTTATGGCGCATTGGAACGCACATATCACCAATAGGTGGTGTGTGTGACGTTCCGAGCGCTGCCCGCTTTAAAGCCTCATAATGTGAGGTGTGGGCATATGGTACTATGTAAATAGCTTGGCGGCCATCTTTAATATGGGCATCCATAAAGTAAAATAAACATGGACTTTTTGGACTCTTTACCACACTTCTGAAGAAGCCTGTTTAGGTGAAACGCGTTAAGTGGGACATTTTAATATATTCCTTTATCCTATATTGTTTTATTTTATATTAAAGTATACTTCTTTTAAAGTTACTTTTTATATATACTATTTTATTTCCTGGATCCTGCATATCCTTGGTGGGGATTATACCACCTAAGCTGTTTTATACTGGAGCAAGTCATATGCTCTAGAAAGTGTAAGTACAATACCTTTTATTATTGAATATACTATTAGTACTTACTTCACCATATTGCTGCTATCTCTTCTTCTTATATTTTGCACATTGCACCTTGAGAACATCCGTGGCAACCACTACGAATCCTAAGACGGGGATTGTACCGTCCAGGCGCTTTACAGTAGAGCTCTGTTATAGCTCATTCAAATGTGAGTGGACTGTACATAGCAATTATTGTGTAGATTAAATAATTCTATCTACTGTATTGCACTATTATTCTTTATTTTTTTTAATTTTATTTTTTGAGGCTACAATTGATTGGAGTACACAAGAATATATGTATTTTTTATTTTTTTTGTGTAAAATACTACTAGGCGCGGTATACGCCTTCTCTTTTTCTTTACTTTTCTACCACAGGCCTTCTTTTCTCCTATATTGTCTTTCTGCTTCCGACAGTCTAGTGATCCCCAACTGCATGGGTTCGGGTTCGGACTGTACAGGAAATTTAGGGAGAATAGGTTTGGAGAAGCGGGTGCTAAAGGCATATTCATGTGTCTGGTCTTGTTTCTAGTAGCTTCTCTGGTTCTCAATCTATTATCAATTTGCAGGACAAAAGTGATAAATTCATTAAGCTTTTTGGGTAAGTGTTTGGCGGCAATCTCATCTAGCATAGTTTCAGATAGTCCCTTTTTAAATGCAGAGATTAACCCACTATTAGTCCAGTCTACCTCGGAAGCTAGGGTATGAAATTCTATGGCATACTCTGAGATAGACCGGTTCCCTTGTCTGATATGCATCAGGGCAGTAGAGGCGTTTTTCTCCCTGCCAAATGGTTCAAACGTAAGTTTAAATTCTGTAATAAACTCCTGGTAATTGTGTGCCACACTCCTATTACTCTCCCATAATGGATTGGCCCAAGCTAAAGCTTTACCTTTTAATTGATTCATCAGGTAACCAATTTTAGCTCTGTCTGTGGGAAATGATCCCGGCGAGGCCTCAAAATGATACTCTATTTGGTTAAGGAATCCCTGGCATTCTTGGAAATTACCATAAAAATGCAGAGGAGATAGAGAGATAGTTGGTGCCTTGTATACTATAGGCAGAGGTACACAAGGCAGAGGTTAAACAGTAGGAGCAGCCGCAGGTTGCAGATGCGCTGTACGGGTAAGACTGAAGGCCTGGGCAAATTGATCCATGTGGTGATCATTCTCCTCTAGTTTCCTTTCGCAAGCAGCTATGTGCTTACACAATTCTACAGGATCTATGGCCTTGTCATAATGTCAGGATTACAGAATGATCCAGCACGTAGAATTGTGTAACACAGAGGACTGATATGTAACGTATACCGAACCTTAGAATGGCCAGACTAACGTACCAAAGAATAGTCAGGAATAGCCGAGGTCAAGGGAAACAGAAAGAGACACAACGATAAGGAAAAGCCAGGAGTCAGGGATGCCAGAAAACAGGGAAGTCAAAAACAATGCCAAAGTCAAATAACCAGAAGACCTCACTACCCCCCACACCCTTAGCCTCACTACCCCCCACACCACCCCCAGCCTCACTAACCCCCACACCACCCTCAGCCTCACCAACCCCAGCCTCAATACCCCCACACCACCCTCGGCCTCACTACCCCCACCCACCTCAGCCTCACTAGCCCCCCACACCCTCAGCCTCACTACCCCCCCACCCTCAGCATCACCACCCCCACACCACCCTCAGCATCACCACCCCCCACCCTCCACCACCCTCAGCCTCAAGCCCTCAGCCACACCCACCCTCAGCCCTCAGCCTCACTACCCCACACCCAGCCTCACTACCCCCACCCAGCCTCACTACCCCCCACACCACCCACCACCCCCAGCCTCACTACCCCCCACACCACCCTCAGCCTCACTACCCCCACACCCTCAGCCTCACTACCCCCACACCACCCACTCAGCATCACCACCCTCAGCCTCACTAGTGGGGCCTCATGTTTGAGTTTCGCCTAAGGCCTCATAAAGTTTAGAGCCGCCTCTGGGTGCATTTAAAAAGCTGCAGACCGTGTAATATCGCAAGACCATCAGAGCGTTGCCGTGGTAACCCGCGGCAACGCTCTGATTGGCCAATTCTCGCGAGACACATGGTCTGCAGCTCTGCTCACTGCGGAGCTGCAGACCTGTGTCTACGATGGTGGCCGGGCAGCCAGGAGGGGCCTCGCACCCGGCGGCATACCGGGCAAGCCGCCGGGCCCCCTCCTGGTGTCAAGTCCTCGGTCACTGACCGAGGACCTGACACAGTCTGCCATAAGGTGGTTTAGGCGGCCGCGAGGCCCCAGCCAGCGCGAGGCCCTAGGCGGCCGCCTAAACCACCTAATTAGAGAGCCGCCTCTGTTTGCGGTTGTTTGCGGTGCGTTAAACGGGGAGTTTGGTCTGTCACTGTGAAGCGGGCGTAACCCTTACACTACCTGATCGATACAACATCATACCTGATGTTTTAAAGCACGTTATTCCAAACAATTTAGGAATGTTAGGTGATTTATGCCCTTTATGGATTAAAACCAGACTATGCATCAACTATGTAATTTTCCATGGGAGTTTTGCCATGGATCCACCTCCGGCATGCCACAGTCCAGGTGTTAGTCCCCTTGAAACAACTTTTCCATCACTATTGTTGCCAGAAAGAGTCCCTGTGGGTTTTAAAATTCCACTGCCTATTGAAGTCTATGGCGGTTCGCCCGGTTCGCCCGTTCGCGAACATTTGCGGAAGTTCGCGTTCGCCGTTCGCGTACCGGAAATTTTATGTTCGCGACATCACTATAGAGAAAGCATAGTGAGCCCCTGTTGTTCCACCTGCAGTAAGTGGATAGTTAATACATTGCTAAACACAAATACACACACCAGTCAAGCCAAATCCCTTGCAGTACTGAGAGCACTGTTAAAGTGAGATTTAGCAATGTATTAACTATCCACTTACTTCAGGTGGAAGGGGTTTTCATCCACACTTTTTTCCCCACCACAACTTATTTGATATGTACTTTACAAGTAACGCCAAGCCTCCATAGCAAGCCAGTAACCAACCTCATGCTGATGAGTTGCATTAACAACGAAACAGCTGTCCATGAGTGGTTCACTGGCTTTGCTCCTCTTCCAGAGTTGTGTTTCAAAGCTGTTATATACAGCAGACCGATACTCCAAGGAATCCATGTATAAAGTGGAATTATGAGGCAAAAATGAGGTTCTTTGTTGAGCTCATTTGCAGATGCCTACCTAGAATCCCTTGCAGTAGTGAGAACACTGTTAAAGTGAGATTACTGTGGGAAAAGCAAGTCTTATGGCTTGACGGGTGTGTGTATTTGTGTTTAGCAATGTATTAACTATCCACTTACTTCAGGTGGAAGGGGGTTTTATCCACACTTTTTTCTCCACCACAACTCTTTTGGTATGTACTTTACAAGTAACACCAAACCTCCACACCAAGCCTCCATAGGGTGCCCTTGTTTGCAAATCATGTTTAGACTGGATTGGAAGATTGTGCTTGTCCCATTCTAAGTATGATAAAAACGAGGCTTGAGTATTAATCTGTGGATAGATATTAATGTCTCTTTTGGATATCATTTTGGAACACAAGGCTTGTTCATATCAAAGGACTCATTATCTAAGAGGGAATCAAGACATATGGCAAATGAGAGAGTTAGTTTGTACTGAAGTCAGACTTCCAGGCCACATAGGTGTGACTTCTCACACCTTACAGAGTAGCTCTGCTGGGGTCCCAGCTTCAAAGAGGAATTTAGGTTGTAAGCTCTGACCTCCCATACAATCAAATTAACCCCTTTTGAAACTGACAATACTACCTCTACCAGGCAGCTAGTTCATATATGCACGAACATAACTTTCGTTTTACTGAACCGATCTGAGTGCTTTTTGGATATGTTGTGCGCTGGACTATTCGGGTTCCGATGCTTTTGTCATGTATTTTTGTGATATGTAAAAATTGTATGCAAGTTTTCCTATTTGAGAGATAATTGGATTATCGTGATTGGAGCTCAATTATCTCTCAAACACAATGGCTTGTGGGAAGGAAACCCCTGTGATTTTGTATTAGAAACCCCATGCTAGGGGCACTGCATAAGAAGCCGAGTGTGGCCTAATAAAGTTCAGATTGCTGCTTTTACCCAATAATACTTTGTTGCGTCCATTATATTGGGGAAACTCTACACAAAGGGAATACTTTCACTATATTCAGCACATCTGGAATTAGGACTAGTGGAGGATTGAAGGAATAACAGCAATATACTCAAATCTGTGACACCCACTTTAGTGAATAAATCTGCATATCTATTATTTTCCGGATCAGGTTGGGTGAATGTAGTGATAGTGAGTAAAATACATTTATTGTTACCATTCTCCAGTTCTTTATTTTAAACATGTAGTGAAAATCAGGCCCATGGACAGTTCAGATTTAAAGTTACAAGACTCCATTCAGTTGCCTTTTTTTGCCAACTAAAAATAAAGTTCCATTTAATTGCAAAAGAAAGGTTTGCTGAACACATGAATCTAACTAATTAAAGTTGACAGATCATATACGTACTCAGAAAGTGATTAAACTGGAATACAGTATAAACCTGTGTGTCACTCTGGGACCGAGTGAAATGCGTGGGATTTGGTTCTGACAGCAGATAGAATATTATTCTTATTATACACAGATTGATTTAAACAATAAAATTGATTGAACAAAAAAAATTACCAGGTAGAGGAATTTCACAAATTATAGAGATCTCACATTAAAGGGAAAAATACAGTT